TGTTCATATCCCCAAGTCTCTGAGATGTAAAGGTGAGCCTAAAGCCAGAAAGCTACGTTTCATTGGCTATCAGGGCTATTCTAGCTGGCATTATCGTTTTGCTTTGGGACGTGGCCGAGTAGTCATTTCACAAAATGCTGAATTTGCTGATCAGGATAGGTGGGAACAGGTTCATGCCAATCCTAGTATTTTAATTCCTCTCTCAGTACAGACACAAGAGCCTCTCAGGCAGCCAGCTGCTGAGGAAAGGCTAGAAAGTGGGGGGGGGGGAGTTGCCCTCAGACACTGATACTTTGCAAAGTGCCACAAGCAGTGTATCAGAGGAACAACAAAATGATGAACTGGAGGAGCAACAAGAGAAGGAAAGCCCAGTGGTTATTCCTAGGAGGTCCACACGGACTACCAAGGGTATTCCCCCCGATAAATTGACTTTTGGCGCAACAAAAGTGTGTCATGTTAATTGTGCAGAGCCACAGGACTTTGCTCAGGTTCTTAAACTACCTTCTAAGGAACAAACCCAGTGGTTTGACGCCATGAAAGAAGAGTTGGGATCATTCAAAGAAAATAAGGTTTACACACTAGCCAAATTGCCACCAGGTGAAAAGTTAATTTCTAGCAGGTGGGTCTTTAAAAGGAAGACTCAGGTGTCTGCTGACACACATTTTAAAGCCAGACTGGTAGCGAAAGGTTTTGTACAAAAGCCAGGAATTCACTATGATGAGCTGTTTGTACCCACTGCCAAAGCAAAATCAGGCAGGCTTCTTTTGTCTGTTGCAGCTGACGAGAAATTGGAAGTAAGTCATTATTATATTACTTCTGCATATTTAAATGCTCCTCTGGACCAGGTGATATACATGTGACAACCCCAAGGGTTTGAGGAGGGGGATGATTTGGTGTGGAAATTAGACAAAGCTGTTTATGGTCTTCGGCAAAGTGCTAAATGCTGGGACGATTGTATAAACACACAACTCTTAAATCTTGGATTTAAAAGGAGCATTGCTGACCCTTGCTTGTATACAAGAGGATCAGGTGACAATTACATATTGGTTTTGATCTTTGTAGATGACTTGATGGTGGCAGGTGGTTCCACAGGTAAAATTCGAAAGATAGCAAATCAGTTGGAAAAACATTTCAAACTGAAAGACCAATATGTCACTATTTAGGGGTCCAAATAGGCAGAGAAGCAGATGGAAGTTTCTTAATATGCCAAGAGCAAAAGATTAAAGGTCTGCTTGAACAACTGGAAATGCAGGATTGTAATGCTCTGCAAACTCCTATGACTGTAGATTTTCAAAAGATTGAAAGTGATGTTTTGTTTGATCAAACAGATTTATACCAATCAGTAATAGTATCTCTTCTGTACCTGAGCCAATGGTCAAGGCCTGATACTTCATTTTGTGTAGGTACTCTAAGCAGAAAAGTAACTAAGCCTAGTATACATGATTGGGCTGCTCTGAAGCGAATACTGAGATCTGAAGGGTACACAGAATAAGTGTATAAAGTTATCTGCATCTAATTCAAGTGATTTGCAGGTGTTTGTGGACAATGACTTCACAAATTTCCATCCACGAGAAAATCAATCAGCGGTCTAGTGGTCATGTTTAGAAATTCACTAATTGGTTGGAAATCCAAAAAGCAAGGTTTTGTTGCCACATCTACATGTGAAGCAGAATTTTCTGCATTATTTGAAGTGTGTAACGAAGTCACATGGTACACCCAGGTATTAAATGATTTGGGATATGAAGTGCAACAGCCTGTGACAATCTATGAAGTTAATCAAGCTTGTATCATAATGGCTAATTCAGGGAACACTTCAGCATGTGCAAAACACGTGGCGATCAAATTTTTCGATGTTAAAGACTATATACAACATAATGTGATTAAGTTGGTTTATTGTCAATCACAGGATAATTTGTCTGATTTATTTACAAAAGCGTTCCCTAGGGTGCAACATGTAGAATTGATTGCAAAGCTGAATCTTGTGGACAAAGTATATGAATAAGATAATTTTTCATGTTTATACTTCTGCTCTCTAGGTCTTTAGGGGAGTGTTATGTGACAAAGGCACATGAGAGCAGAAGCAGCAAAGCAGGCTGGGAACTGCTGGGACTGCACAATCATTTGGGCCTACAAAAGTTATTCAGGCCAAACTGCTAACTGTTGAGTCATTCTGACGTGTGACTTAGTAGCCAGATTCACTTTGTGCTCTCTGTAAGATGTGAGAGTCGGTCTGCATTAACTGTGAACAGTCTGTATGTAATCTCAGTCAAACTGTTTGGAACCATGTTGTTTATGAAGAAGTTTATTTTAACTCAGTAAAGCTTTTATTCTTTAAAAACTCTGCATTATTAATTTTTGCTGCGCGTCAACGAAGTCTATGTAGATGTTAATCCTTCTAACATTCAAATACTTTTTAGCACCTCAGTGACTGAATTAATTGGCAGAGTAGTTTCTTCCCCTTCGCTCAGATCATGTCCAATATTTAAACCCAATTTTTCGTCGTAAGAAGTGGAAGCATGCTGCTAAATGGTGGTGACTTTGGAGTGTAGCCTTATGAGGCTTTGCCCTCGGGTGGGAAAAATATTGCGCCTGGGAAAGGGAAGTGGGAGTCAACAGACACTCAAGGTAGTTTTGAGGCATCAGGCATAAGCCTGCATTTTATTAATGTTTGATCAGGGCTTGTATATTAAAGAGGGCTTAGATTTTTAAAAGTTTCATGCCAGGCAAGAAGGCTAGCTGCTTAAGAAAACACTGACAGTGTTTTCTTCCTAGACAAGGGGCCCCTTGATTGATAGCAGAAAGTAATTCTCAAAGTCGTAAAAGCTGGAATTACAAACTGAGTAAGGACACTGACCCTACATGTTACAGAAGATAACAAAGGCAGAGATAAATATAATTAGGAATGAGTAAATAGTAAAATAATGCCAATGTGCCTCCCAGTAAAATGAGCCAGATCTTCTTTCTAAGGTTAAAAGGCCAAGACCAAATGGAGAAGCATCTAGCTGGCAGAAAGAGAGGCTTTTTGGGAAGTCTTTTTAAAGCATTTTTGGGAAGTCTTTTTAAAGTTGTTTCTTTCTTAAACTGAGAGAGTTTAAGAGCAATAAATGTTGGGAAGGGCTAATGGGAAAAGCAGCTGGCTGAAGCAGCTGGAGAAGGGGAAGGTGTAAACTAAAGAGCCTTCTTTAAAAACTGTTTTTTACTGAGTTCCTTCCTTTCTACTTTACAAAGGCCTTATTCCTTTTAAGAGGCTACCTGTGTTGTGTATTAAATATATTGTCTTAAATGTAATTATGCAAAGGATTTAGAAAGTAACAAATTTAGATGTTAGATTCTTATTTCATAGAATCATAGAGTCCTAGAGTTGGAATAGACCACAGGGGCCATTGAGCCCAGCCCCCTGCCAGACAAGAAGACGCCATCCAGGCAGTCTTGATATATAGCTGTCAGACATTTGTTTAGAAACCTTCAAATGAAGGAGATCTTTCAATGTTGATGTGAAACTCAAGATCCTTGACATATGTTTAAGATAAAAATTTAAGATTAACCATTTGTTTTAGAAGGCAATAGGGCAAGGAGGGCAAGAGGTGAGCTGGTAATTAAGATTCCTTGTTGAGACACATGTAAGATATATTACTACTTATTTGTCATTTATAGATGTAACAATATATAGCTCTTTGTCCTCCATATAAGGACAGGAGGATATGGGTGTATCTTTTTGTGATTGGTTCTAGCAATCAGCCAATAGGAAATCCAACCAGGCTGATTGGACAGAGGCAGCCCAAGGAGGAGCAAAGGGGGCTGGATTAAGGGAATATAAGTGCTGGCCATAATGGCAGGAGGGCAGGCCAGAGCTTGGTAACCATATACCACTGTGCCTCTCATTTATTTGTCTGACAAATAAATTATTATTTTAATTTCTCTATTGCTGCGTTGAATATTTCATTCCAGCTAAGCGTTAACCACAAGCAGGGTGCTACAGTTTCAGAGAAAAGGCTTTTATTTCTACCATCCATGAACTGGTAGAAGGAGCAAGTGTGATAAGTCACAAAAAGCATGCACGAGTTCACAATCATGTGCACAAGCATATATACCCCTTTCCAGTTCCCTCCTCCTTTCTCCTCCTTCCAGAGTCCTGCCCCATGTTGAGGTTCCTGAGCATGTACAGAAAGCTGTCTTGGGACTATTGTAGACTCTTGGCACCCTTCCCAGGAAAGGGGGGGGTGAGAAGCCAAGGGGTTTTCAGCATGTTCAGATATGTTTCAATCTCTTGTTCTGGCATGGTTCCCGGACAGAAAGTAAGTTGCAATGTGGTTCTTTAGCAAGGGCAGAAGACATGAGAAAGGCCTGAGAAACAATGGACTGTTTCTACCTTTGTTACAGCAGAGCGGAAAGTTTTCTGATGCTTAGCTGCTCACCTGTCCTCACCTTCCTTCAGGAGAGTTGCCAAGAAACATTCCGGGCTTTCCATCCAGCACCCCCCAGCTCCTCCTTCTGAATTTGGGGTGTTTGGGCGATCTGCGGATGAGCTGCCACTCCCCAGCCTGAGGAGTGTAGGGAGGCTGATTACTCCCTTCTCAGCCTCTGATTCCAGAACGTACAGCGGTGATGGAATTCAGCAATCCTCCATCGCAGCTTGCCAGAAGCTCCTCCCCCAAATGCTCCCCTATTCTTGGATACAATCAATATGTACAAGAATGAAGCTGTGATGATGCCATAATAATAATAAATATAAACAGAAAACATTGAGCAAGGTTATCTGGGTTTTCCTATATAAGCTGGGGTTGATGCTCTCCCTAAACTTGCTATATATGTGCACAAGCATATTCAATATATTCAATATTTAGGTGTGTGTGCATGCATGTGTTTATATCTAAATAAATTGGGATATCATGATTTCTTGTTTCCACTTGGAAACGTTTGGCTTTTGCTTTTTCCAGATTTCATATGGTTCATTTGAACCAGCCACAAATTATGGAACCAAGTTCCCTTCCTTTTACCGCATGGTCCCCAATGAAGACCTTCAGTATCAGGGAATTATCCAGTTACTTCTGCATTTCAGATGGAAATGGGTTGGGCTCATGACTCCACCTAATGAAGCTGGAGAACGTTTCTTGCAGAATATTGAGCCAATGCTTTTCAAGAATGGAATCTGTTCAGCATTCACAGAAAGAGTGGAACACAATATACTTTATAATACTAACTTACTAGAAATGGTGGACATAAAGATTTTATTACCAGCATTCACAACCAGCAAAGCTATTGCAATTCTTCTATATGGAGAAAGTAGATTTATTCTATGGTTGGCAAATGCTTTTATCGCGATGGAGTTTACTCAGCTACTATTTCCTCAAAAAAAGTCACACGAAGGAAAAGTATGGATTACAACTACCCAAATTGATTTCATATTCTATAGCTTTCAAAAAAAATTTAATGTTAATATACGAATTCTCCATGGTGCAATATCCTTTGCAATTCACTCCAAGGAGATTCACAACTTTAAAGACTTTCTTCGGCGCATATATCCTCATTGGACGGACACAGATGGTTTTATACAAGGTTTCTGGGAAGATGCATTCAGTTGTTCACTTTCAAATTCCACTCTCTCAGCAACCATGTGTACTGGAGAGGAGATGCTGGAGAGCCTCCCTGCACCATTTTTTGAAATCAGCATGACTGGCCACAGCTACAGTGTTTATAATGCTGTCTATGCTTTGGCACATGCCTTAAATAGCATGCACTTTGCTGGAGCCATGCGCAACAGAAGAGGTGCTAAGGGAAAACTCTCTCCTCAATATGTAGATCCTTGGCAGGTATTGTTCCCTGATACAAAGCATTCACTGCATTGGTACATTATGTGAGTTGGCATTTAATCATCAGTAAAGAAATAAAAGAATAAAACATAAGAAATTAAAAATAAACCTTAAGTAAATTTACTGTATGAAAGATGGGAATTAGAGTATTTCCACACTGTAAACCCCTCTGTTTTCTCCCCATATCCCTCCCCAATTCTCTCTGTCTCTCTTACCTGTCCAGTTACCCAGTGGTGTAAGGTTGGGGGCCTGGGGCCCATTGGCCCTGGGCACATAATTCTGAGGGAGAACAACCAGGACCCCAATCCCAGGCACTGGCTATTGCAGGAATACTCATATCCAAGAGAAAACAGAAGAGAGAAACATCAGGGAGCTGCCACTACCTGGGCACATCTTGGAAGGCCCCATCCCCAACTCCTCATCTTTCCCTCTATGTCCACCGCCAGCGGTTTCTGGCCTCACTGATAGGTCCCCAGAAGACACTGGCAACAGTTTGATCACTGTCTCTAGACGCTGCTTTATTCCCTTCTCCTCTTCTGCCTCTAAGTCTGGATTTCAGTCTGCCTCAGCCTCTTCCTGCTCCCTTAACCCTGTTGCCCCTTCTGCATCTGACACCTCTTCCTCCCAGTCTGCTCCCTCTTCTCCCACTGACCACTCCTTGTCATCCCAAAACCAATCCCCTAGCTCTGAGCCTCCTTTCCTTGGGGTGTCCCTTTCAGGTCCCCCAGCAGCTGCTTCCTTGCACTCCTCTGCATCCAACATCCAACCATGGTCAAATTCACTCTATAAACTATGGAAAGGTCCAGTCCGATGTTCTCATGTTGCATTCCTATCTTTTGAGAACATAAGCTCCCATCTCTTCTCTTACATGACTTCTCAAATCCATTCCCTTTCTTGGATCTTGACAAAGGCTGGTCTCAAGCAAGCAGGTCTATGGTCTCATCTCTTCATAATATATTTATGCAAGTCTGTTTAATGTTGAATTGACACTGATTCATGATTCCCTACTCCTCCTGTATGTGCAACTAAAATATGGATGCTCTCCACTGTGAACTGAAGCATTTAACTTCAATTCTCTTTCCACTTAGCTCCACTCATTCCTGCAGAAAATCTCATTCAACAACAGTGCTGGGGATGAAATTACATTAAATGAATATGGAGAGTTAGCAGCTGGCTTCGATATTACCAACTTGGTTACTTTCCCAAATAATTCCTATGTCAGAGTCAAAGTGGGCAGCTTGGATCCTCAGGCCCCTCCGGGCAAAGAGCTCACCATTAATGAAGACAGAATCAAATGGAACAGACACTTCACTAAGGTATGGAAATAATGGCACAGTCCCTGAAAACCCAGAATTTGTGGTTATCCACAAAATGGGATGTAACAAAAGCACTTCACACATTATTCATTTTGAAATTCACTAGCACTTGAAACCACTTCAGACTAGTGATGAGTTAGAATAGAGGAGTGCTCCCAGACCTCTTGCTTCAAATGGAATGCAACTCCTCCCAGAACAGGTCAGGCATAGGAACCGAAAGCATGTCTCCCTGAGACAGGATGTGGCCTAACAGGGAACCACTACCCAAAAGTCATGGAATGATTTCCTATTGCTAGTTTATTGTACTGACCCTGCAGGTAGGAGCAGAACCACTATAATGGCTTACCTTTAATTCCTTGTGCCACACAAAGGAACACCATGTGGACTCCTTGAAGCAAATGCCGTTAGGTGGTGACTCCATCAAAAGGCCATACCAGGGGTGAAATCACACAGAATTCTGTGTGATTTCACCCCTGGCTTGGCCTTTTGATGTAGTCAAACACAGCTATAAGGTTGGATGGTCCAGACATGAATACTGACATCTTCTTAAGCTTGTATGATGCTTAGAACAGCAGCTTTTAACCCTACTGTATGTGCCACTTGTGTGTTGTTGTTGTTTAGTCGTTTAGTCGTGTCTGAATCTTCATGACCCCATGGACCAGAACACATGAGGCACTTCTGTCTTCCACTGCCTCCCGTAGTTTAGTCAAACTCATGCTGGTAGCTTCGAGAACACTGTTCAACCATCTCGTCCTCTGTCGGCCCTTCTCCTTGTGCCCTCCATCTTTCCCAACATCAGGGTCTCTTCCAGGGAATCTTCTCTTCTCATGAGGTGGCCAAAGTATTGGAGTCTCAGCTTCAGGATCTGTCTTTCAAGGGAGCACTCAGGGCTGATTTCCTTAACAATAAGTGTACCTACGGATAATTTCACGCTATTAGTCCTCCCATTTACTATTAAACCACCTGATAGTGGATATTTGGTAAATTCCCCAAAACAATATCATAATATTAAACTCTTCCTTTCTCTTTGCATAGGTGCCACCGCTTTCTGTATGTAATGCCAAGTGCCATCCTGGTTACGGGAAGAAAAAGAAGGAGGGGGAGAAGTTTTGCTGCTATGATTGTGATCCATGTCCAGAAGGAATGATTTCAAATGAGAAAGGTTAGAGATGGAATCTTAAGATAATGTAGAATCTCTGGGCTCCTGGCAATTTCGTTGACATTAAAATGCTGCAGGAGAGAAGGCTTAAATTAAGAGATGTGTTCTTCTCATTATTTATAGATAACATCAATATATTTTTATCTTTAAAACATCTTGAAGATTTCTTTTTTAAGTGGAAGCTAATATATTTTACCTCCATCTTCTACAAAATTAGGGTGGAATAAAAGTGGTGTTTTCTCCTCTAAGAATTAGGTTGTTTGACAATAGGGTGAAAATCTTATCAAACTCGCTTTTCTGAGATTCAAAGATTTTAGCTGTAATGCATTTCTCATTTTGTTGTGCTGTTTATGTGGCTCTAAGAAAAAGCAGGGAAACAATAAAAAAAAATGTCACCCATGTAGAAAATTCCACAATTGATACACAACTTTTATTTTTGATACACCTAGTACAAAAGCATTTGGGCTTGAAGCTCTTATACATTCTGACGTAGAAAACACTATGCTAAATGGATGAGTGATGAGGAAATTCTTAAGAATACTTTTGGTTGCTTCAAATTGTCACACATTGCTTGTGTATTTTCAGACATGGAAACATGTGTCAGTTGCCCAGCAGATCAGTATCCAAACAGCGGCCAGGATCTATGCATCCCCAAGACTCCAAATTTCCTAGCCTTTGATGAAACCTTGGCTGTTGTTTCAACTTCCTCTGCACTTTTATTCTCTCTCATCACAATTCTGGTGCTCAGCATCTTCATTAAGCATCGCAATACAGCCATAGTCAAAGCCAACAACCGAAGCCTCACCTATGGTCTCCTTATCTCCCTCCTCTTGTGTTTCCTCTCTTCTTTGTTGTTTCTTGGAAAACCTAATATGGTGACTTGCCTTCTCCGACAAACTGCTTTTGGCATTGTCTTCTCTGTGGCCCTCTCCAGCATCTTAGCCAAAACCATATTGGTGGTTTTGGCATTCATGGCTACCAAACCAGGATCCAATATGAGGAAATGGGTAGGCAAAGAACTGGCTTATTCCATTGTCTTTTCCTGCTCCATTGTTCAAGTAGGGATCTGTGTCCTCTGGCTGGCAACCTCTCCCCCATTCCCAGATGTGGACATGCACTCAATGCCTGAAGAAATCATATTTCTTTGTAATGAAGGGTCAGTCTCCATGTTCTATTGTGTTTTGGGCTACATGGGCTTCCTGGCCACTTTCAGCTTCACGGTGGCCTTCCTAGCGAGGAAGTTGCCTGACACTTTCAACGAAGCCAAGTTCATCACCTTCAGCATGCTGGTCTTTTGCAGTGTTTGGCTCTCCTTCATTCCAACCTACCTGAGCACCAGAGGAAAATATATGGTGGCTGTGGAGATCTTCTCCATCTTTGCTTCTGGTGCTGGGTTACTGGCTTGCATTTTTTGCCCTAAATGCTACATTATTGTGGTGAGGCCTGACCTGAACAACAGAGAACAGCTAACACAAAGAAAGGTATAAATGACAGTGGAATTTGTGGTCCTGTTGGGTCTTAGAATACATGGACTTGCCGGCTGGTATCCCTGCTCTGGATGTCCCAAAGGCAATGGGTGCAGATTTTTCCTCAGATTCTAGTCCCAAAGCCATTTTAACAAATGAGTAATGCTGTAAAGCAATGGAGGTTTAGGTTCAAAATTTCTGTCTCCAAGGTGGGCTCCCTTCCTAGGTTTACGAGACCATCTACCCCTCATTTCCCTCTACAGCACCTTCAGTAGCCACCTTTTTGAGCACTGGGCCCACTTTTGCTCTCATCTGCTATATTCTGTCTTTGCATGAAGAGAAATTCCCAAACTCACTGAGGATTTGAGGCACATTGCCTACCCTCACCTGGTTTAGGTACTTCATGGAAGCTGCAAATTCATCTTAGAATCATAGAATCATAGAGTTGGAAGAGACCACAAGGGCCATCGAGTCCAACCCCTTGCCAAGCAGGAAACACCATCAGAGCACTCCTGACATATGGTTGTCAAGCCTCTGCTTAAAGACCTCCAAAGGAGACTCCACCACACTCCTTGGCAGAAAATTCCACTGTCGAACAGCTCTTACTGTCAGGAAGTTCTTCCTAATGTTTAGGTGGAATCTTCTTTCTTGTAGTTTGGATCCATTGCTCCGTGTCCGCTTCTCTGGAGCAGCAGAAAACAACCTTTCTCCCTCCTCTATGTGACATCCTTTTATATATTTGAACATGGCTATCATATCACCCCTTAACCTCCTCTTCTCCAGGCTAAACATGCCCAGCTCCCTTAGCCGTTCCTCATAAGGCATCGTTTCCAGGCCTTTGACCATTTTGGTTGCCCTCCTCTGGACACGTTCCAGTTTGTCAGTGTCCTTCTTGAACTGTGGTGCCCAGAACTGGACACAGTACTCCAGGTGAGGTCTGACCAGAGCAGAATACAGTGGCACTATTACTTCCCTTGATCTAGATGCTATACTCCTATTGATGCAGCCCAGAATTGCATTGGCTTTTTAAGCTGCCGCATCACACTGTTGGCTCATGCCAAGTTTGTGGTCAACCAAGACTCCTAGATCCTTTTCACATGTACTGCTCTCAAGCCAGGTGTCACCCATCTTGTATTTGTGCCTCTCATTTTTTTTGCCCAAGTGCAATACTTTACTGTAATGGGAATTGGGGGTTGCTCGTGCGTAAGTTGCCGCCACTCTCGGTGAGGTTGCCTGGATAAACCTTTCCCTGGCTGGACAGTCCTGATTCCGCGTCTGTCTCAGTCACTGGCAGAATCCATCAGTGGGCGTTTCCTGAACTTCTTCCAACATAAAAGTTCCTTGACGGATAGTCTCCGCCTAGCCTCCCTGCGCGGAAGTCTTCTGCGCAGGGTGGGTGTGGGCAGTGGAGGACCAATGCTCTCCCCGCTGGTCTCTGGCGAAGAGTCCTGGAGCCATCCCTCCGAAGCCCGCCTCTGCCCGCCTTTCTCCCTGGTGTAATGCTGATTTCCTTCCCCGGTCACTGAGTCCCCTCTTTTCCTGCTGGGACCTTCTCCGGCATCGCTTGGGAGCCCTTCCTCCACTCCTGACTGCAATGGCAGTTCCCTGACATTTACATTTCTCCATGTTAAAATTCATCTTGTTTGTTTTGGCCCAGTTCTCTAATCTGTCAAGTTCATTTTGAATTGTGATTCTTTTGTTTTACTTTTAGCCCAAAGTCTGTCCATTTCCATTGAAACCACCCCATTCATGTCCCCCATTAATATAATTTTCTGATCCAGATATTCAAACAGTCTTTCTTCCAGATTTTTGAAAAATGCAGTTTTGTTTCCATTCGGTGCATATACTCCAATAATTATCAATTTTTCCCCTTGCCAATTGATTTGGACTGCGATTAGTCTTCCTTCTTCATCTTTGAATAATTGTTCTGCCTCTATCTTACTCTTGATATATAATATCACACCCCTCTTTTTACTTTTATCTGATGAAATAAATTCATTTCCTAATTTCTTGTTAATTAAGATTTTTCTGTGAGTTTTTTTAACATGAGTCTCTTGTAAACAAATAATGTCCAAGTTCTTTTGTTTCAAATATTGTACAATTTTATTTTGTTTTTTTATCATTCATTCCATTCACATTCCATGTCCATAATTTCAATGCCATATTGTCTGCCAATTAAATATACTTTATTTTATATTAATTTACTTCTCTTCTTCTTCTGGTTCTTCTTCTGTCTCTTCCTCTTCTTCTCGTTCTTCTCCTCTTTTTCCTTTCCCCCCCTTCTTTTTCCTGCCTCTTTCTTCTTCCTCTTCCAACTCCAAGGAGTCTTCTTCCTCTCCTCCTGCTCCAGCTATTTCCTCTTCCATTCCTTCTCTGGCCAATCCTTTATATCTTCTCAAAAATTTATCCACTTGATCCGGTTTTGTCAGTCTGTGCCTCTTGCCCTTGTACATAAATGCCACTCCTTCTGGAAATCCCCACTTGAACTTGATTTTGTTATTCTTCAATATCTGCACCAACTGTTTGTAATAATCTCTTTTCTTCAAAAGCCTCAGCGGCACATCTTTAAAAATAATTATATAATTCCCATCAATATTCAGCCGCTTCTCTCTGTTTTTTTGCAGAATTAAATTTCTCATTTCCCTATCCTTAAATGTAATCAGACAGTCCCCTGGGAACTTCTTCGCTCTCGTAGTCCTTGTTTTAATTCGAAATGCATTTTGTATTGTTTTATCCACTTCTTCTATTTGCATATCCAACCACTGGGCAATTTCTGCTGTCAGTTTCTATTCAATCTTTTCTCCTTGCACCTCTGGCACAGACCTAAATCTCAGGTTCGTCTCCCTTTGTCAAAGTTCATTCATTGCCACCGCATCCCACAGTTCCTCCTGTGCCTTCTTGACTGCTGATACTTCTGCTCTTATTCATCTCTCCTAACTTCTTTCAATTCCAATTTTGTTCTTTTCATCGCCTCCTCCAAACTCTGTGTTCTCTTGGAGAATTCTTTTATCTGCTGTTTCAGCTCATTTACCGTTCTATCCATTTTTTTATCTACTTGCTCTAATTTAGTTTCCATCAGTCCCATTTTATTTTCCATCTGGCCTAATTTCGTCTCAATGTTTTTTTCACTATTTTTAATATCAGTCTTTAATTCTGTGAACATCTTGTTTTGAACTCCTCCTATCCCCCGGTGTTGCACCTTCACCCTTTTTCTGTGAATGCGTCATTCTCTAAGATCCCAAAATCTCTATGCAACCCTTATGCCACTTAACTCCTTTGTCCAATAAACAAAAAAACAAATAATGAATTTACAACTTTCAAATCCCAAATATCGTAATAAAAACTCACTTATTTAAAATTATTTGAATTAAGCAATTTGTATCAATTTATATCAATTAAATCAATTATTCAAATCATTAGGTTCTGAAAGTTAAGTTCTAGAGATGGAGATTAAATCCAGTAAAGTAGCTTTGTAATTTTGATGATTAAATCCAAATGATTATATCCAAATTGTCCAATGGTAAGTGCTGGCAGACCCCTTCCAGTTAGTATTGAGAGAATAATATAGATTAACTCAAATAAAGAAATTATAAACCACCTTCTTGCCACTTAATTGGCTAAATCCACGTATTAATTCCAATCGAAGAGTTCAAAAACCCAAGAAACCAAAAATTAGGACTGATCAAAACCTTCTTGCCATTTACACGGCTAGATCCAATTGGCTTGTTGCAGGACCAAAAAATGGTAAATCAAAATATGTTTCAAATCTCCAAAAGAGCCCAAAGTTATTCCAAATTTCCTCTATCAGAAACAACACCAAACAACAAATATAACTCCAAAAGAAAGGCACATGTGGAATAATTATTTCCCAAATAAAAGCAGGGGGGGAGAAGTTAAACCTGCAAAGAGACAGTTTTTCCCCTCCAAGAGAGAAAGATAGAGTAAAAAAACCTCTTGTCCAATTTCTGAGTAATCCAATGTATCCACAAAGTTAACTTGTATCCAGAAAGCTTGGAGGCGTTCTTCCGTTAGAAACAATATGGCGATGTATGTCTTTATTTGTATCCAAGAGGAAAGTATAAAAATAAAGCCTCTTAGAAGTAGAGTCTCTTAAAAATTCATACTGTAAACAGTGCAAACAAAGTCCAACTGCTTTAAGCAGGGTTTATTATCCCAGATCTTCTAATTCAAACCTCCAATTTATTTTAACTGTCAAAAGTTTTCCTCAAAGTCAGTAACTATGCAGTTCTTTTTCCCTTTGAAAGCGAAAGTAAGCAGCACTCCAATCTCCTTCTCTTTTGCACTCCACACTTCCTTCAACGTTCCCAACAAATTCCCAGCATATTCTCCGACAAACTGCCAGAATGATAGCTCTCCAAATTGTACTCTCTTTTTCTTAATTCTAGTCTTAATAAGGAGCCTTTTGAAAGTCTTAAAGTATATCCGTGAAAACAAACGCTCCCCGTCTGGGGCAACTTACAGTTTTTCCGCTCCGCAAATTCTTCTTGTGTAAAAATAACATTCCAGGCAAGGCTGACCTCCTTTTTTCCACCTTACCTCCTTGAATTAGTTCTGATTAAACATAAATTTAAATCTTTTTGAATCCAATTCGGTTTCTTTTTGTTTGAGAACAGATCGCTCTGTGCGCAAGCTCGGAGCTTCGCTATTGAGGAACAGCAATGGCTTCCCACTGTCGGCTTTTCTCTACCCCGTCACACTCTTCGCCCCCCCAAAAAGGGGTTACCTGGTGACTGGAGCAGCTGCAAATCTACAGCGCCTTGTTCACTGCCTCTTGAATTCCCTTCTAAGAGTATTTGGGGGGCTGCGGCACTCTTGCAGCACCCCCGTTTTCCCCTCAATAGCTAGAAACTCTCCGGAGCGAAGTATAAAGCCCAAACCTCTGAAAAGATATGAAGTGAACTAGCATATTCTTACTGAAGTAACCTAAGTTTTCCACTTGTATTATGCTACCTTGTTCTAAAAATAAATCTTTATTGTTTATTTAAAGAACACCTGCTTGAGACTCCAACTTCTTGGTTATCCCCCTCACAAAGATGCCCCCCAGGATATTCTGGGATAGTTAGGTTTTGTTTTTAAGCCTTTGGGTCAAAAGTTGTTCAATGAGGTGGGGGCAATATATTTAAATGAGAGTGGGCACATGGGCATGAGCGGTAACTGATATATAATTGTCACATATATTTTTCCCAAAGTGTTTCTGTTATCCATCATGCCTTGTATGGATCTGATATACCATTGGTCTATTGATGCTATAATCCAGTGCCCCAACTTCTTGATAAGGCAAGGATGCTATCCAGAATTGCTGCCACCATTCAGTTAATGTGATGGCAAACCATGTCTGATCAGTGTTACATAGGTGGGAGAATGAAGGATGCCCCAGTACTAACAAATTTGGAAGTAGGGAAAGGATGGGGCCATTTCAACTCAATCCTGCTGACCTTGTAGGTTCATTCCTTGCCTATGATTTTGTGATATTACACATATAATTACATTGGCAGATCCAGCTTCCTGTCTACCAGCTGCAGTAATAGATGCTGTTGGATTCACTATCTGCGGTCTGGATTCAGACCTTTCCTCCTAGGCTGGAAAAAAACCGGTGAACACAGCTTTTTTTACTGGAAGCCGAATCACAGGCCAAAGCGATGCAGTGACTTTTGGAAACTGTGGGATAACCGCTTCTCCCAGAGCATGATGGGAAATATCAACAGTTGAAGGAATGAAGGATACAGCACCATATATGGACAGAAAAACATCATGGGGGGAAATTGTCACACGCAGGAAAGAATAAGGATTACACTAAGAGTTCCTCACTTTAAACTTTATAAATTACCTAATATACCAACACAAATAGAAATCACAAGACTGTAGCCATATAAGAGATTATTATATGTGCTTGGAATGCAATGGAAATGATTAAAATAGTGGAACACAGAATTAATGAAGAAGAATGAAGCCATCAAATCTCGCATGGATGGGGGCCAGTTTAATTAAATCATATCATTTGACATTTGAATAATTGGCATTCATAATTGCATTAATTAGATAAAATTGGTATTGTTATAATGAGGTCGCAATTGGAACAATATTGAGAAATCAATAAAAAATATATTTAAATGATAATAATAGTAATATTTTGGCAGTTCTCCTACTGCTGATGCACCATAGAATCCAAAAACACTGCACAAGTGATTCTCTCCCCTATCATTACTAAAATTACAATAATCAAACTACCAGACTGAACCTCCAAATGCCACAGTGTAAAAAAAGAATCAACAAGCAATCCTGAAATGATTATAAGCTCCTCTGTGCTCCATAGACAACTAGGCTGGGCTCTGTAAGTTATCAGTTATCAGTTTCCCTATTTCATATCAAACCACTGCATCTTATTTGGTATCCAAGGCATTCTGTTGTGACAATGTTCAAGCTAACAATAAGGTGGATACATGTCCTTTAAAGTGCCAAATTGACAGAGTCAGCTGCCACCCAATTTGTCTTATTCAGGTCAGGTGGAGGAGAGCAATAATACTGTCGAGAGAAGCAGGGGAGTCCATGCACACAAGGGTATTTGCCATCAGGATGTTCCTCCTGCTGCTTCTGCTGCTCCCCAATATAGTGTCCCAAGGACAAAGTGCTAAATGCGCAACAAATCATCCTGTTCATGTTCCACACGAGTGGTATGAGCCAGGTGACCTGGTCATTGGTGCAATGGCATCTCATATTTATTACATAGTCCACAAGGTTTCCTTCAAGAAACACCCTTCCCAGCACTTCATTGATGCCCCACTGTAAGTAATGGTTAATTAATATTATTTTAATTATTCCTTATATGTTATATCGGACAGAAAATAACTTTGATTGATTTGAAGGCAGGATTGCTTTAGAACTTTATTTTTAAAATGTGTGGAGAGATTTTATTAGAAATCTCTGTGCATATAGACTATGTGCATATTGTAAATGAACAATAAGCTTTTTAAAAACACCAAATTTATAAAGACAGACAGAAAAGAGAGTAGGAGAAAGAGAAAAGAGATGGCATTAAAAATAGGAAAAGCATATAGCCAAGTAGTATAGTACTCAACTTTTTTATGATACCCAAATTTTCAAGGCGGCGAAAACAAATATGGTTTGCTGAAGATATAAAGAAATATGCAACAGCTTTTTGAATTACACAGTAATCTTAGATTGCACAAATGAGTAAATAAACTTTGCTGGCTTCATCCTCTCCTTATAGGGAGGCAGGTGAATCTCTCCTATCTAGATTCTGTGCACTGTTTAATTTTCCCATCAAACAAAACCTCACTTCATTTGCAGGGTGTTGACAAAGTTCTACCAGCAAATCCTGGCCTTGGTCTTTGCTGTTGATGAGATCAATGAGAATCCCAGGATGTTGCCCAATGTCTCTCTCGGCTTCCACATCTATGATAGCTATTATGATTCAAAGATGACCTACCGAAACACTCTGGACCTGATCTTTAAATCACGTCACTTTGTTCCCAACTACAAGTGTGGCATCCATAAAAATGTCGTAGGAGTCATTGGGGGACTCAGCTCTGATACCTCCTGGTGCATGGCAAACGTCTTAGGTCTTTTCAAGATTCCACAGGTAGAATATGGATTTTGAAAAACAGAGTTGTCATGCTTTCCTTGCATTAGGAATCTACTGATTCATAAATATGGACTTGTAAAATGGACAAAGTAAAAGGGCCATAATATGCATATCCAACAATGTGTGTAGGAAGGACAATTTGTGTTGAATAGATGTAATAGAAGATTTCTGTAAAGCTGCCAGGTTTGTAAAGGAGGCACCTAGACTGGTTCATATACAACAATCCTGAATGCACTGCACTGGCTTCCTGTGAGCTACTGAATATGGGACATTGACATTGGTTTAATTGGAGCTGCGCTATTCCGATTCTAATTCTAGGCAAACATCCTAAGTTTTTTTGCTGTCTCTCCAGTCATTCTCCAAATCAAAGTTGGGAAACTCTTTATCCTCTTCCAAATATATCTGCAGCTGAATACTTTGAACTTGGTTTTCCACTTTTGAATAATTGTTATTTCCACACAGTTAATGACTATTAGAATCATATTATATCACCAAATACACCACCTCTCCAGTCTCACTTGCAATAAATAATCAGGCAGTTGGTTCTTTCAGAGGAGGATTTTGCCATATAACAAAGCAAACAAAGATGTCTGAACCCCCCTCACTTTCAGTTCCAACATACCAAGTCTACATAGATGTTAATACTTCTTCTGTTCAAATCCTTTTTAGCACCTCAGTGGCTGAATTAATTAGCAGAGTAGTTTCTCCCCCTTCGCTCAGATCATGTCCAAAACTTAAATCCAAATTTTCATCTTAATAATTGGAAGCTTGTTGCTAAATGGAGGCGACTTTGGAGAGTTGCCAAGAAATGTCCTGGGCTTTCTATCCAGCCACCCCCAGCCCCCCCTTCCTTCTGAATTTGGGGTCAGGTGTTGGGTGGTCTGCATATGAGTTGCCACTTCCCAGCCTGGGGAATGTAGGGAGGCTGATTACTCCCATTTCAGCCTCTGATTCCGGAAGGTACGGCAGTAATGGAATTCAGCAATCCTCCATCGCAGCTCGCTGGAAGCTCCTCCCCCAAATGCTCCCCTATTCTTGGATACAATCAATATGTACAAGAATGAAGCTGTGATGATGACATAATAATAATAAATATCAATAGAATACATTGAGCAAGGTTCTCTGTGTTTTCCTATATAAGGTGGGGTTGGTGTTGTCCCTAAACTTGGAAAACTTGGGATATAGATTCAATATAGATTCAATATTTTAGTGTGTGTGCATGCATGTGTTTTTATACAAATGTTTTTGGGATATCATGATTTCTTGTTTCCACTTGAAAACATTTGGCTTTGGCTTTTTCCAGATTTCATATGGTTCATTTGAACCAGCCATAAATGATGGAACCAAGTTCCCTTCCTTTTACCGCATGGTCCCCAATGAAGACCTTCAGTTTCAGGGAATTATCCAGTTACTTCTGCATTTTGGATGGAAATGGGTTGGGCTCATCACTACAGATAATGAAGCTGGAGAACGTTTCTTACAGACAATTGAGCCAATGCTTTTCAAGAAAGGAATCTGTTCAGCATTCACAGAAAGACTTAAATTCAATATAAATTATAACAGTAACCAACTAGAAATGCTGCATAACACAAGGATCTGGTTGCCAATTTTGACAACCAGCGGAACCAATGTAGTTCTTGTGTACGGAGAAAGTAGATTTAGTATATGGTTGTCAGGTGCTTTAAGCACAATGGAGTTATCTCAGCTACTATTTCCTCAAAAGAATTCACGTGAAGGAACAGTATGGATTACAACTACCCAAATTGACTTCATATTATATAGCCTTCAAAAATTTACTGTTAATATACGAATGCTCCATGGTGCTCTATCCTTTGCAATTCACTTCAAGGAGATTCACAACTTTAAAGACTTTCTTCGGAGTATACGTCCTCAGTGGACAGACACAGATGGTTTTATCCAAGCTTTCTGGGAAGATGCATTCAGTTGTTCACTTCCAAATTCCACTCTCTCACCAACCATGTGTACTGGAGAGGAGATGCTGGAGAGCCTTCCTGCACCATTTTTTGAAATGAGCATGACTGGCCACAGCTACAGTGTTTATAATGCTGTCTATGCTTTGGCACATGCCTTAAATAGCATGCACTTGGCTGGAATCATCCGCAACAGAAGAGGTGCTAAGGGAAAACTCTCTCCTCGGTATGCAAATGCTTGGCAGGTATTGTTCTCTCTTACAAAGCATTCACTGCATTGCTACATTTTGTGAGTAGGCATTTACTTTTCAGTAAAGAAATAAAAGAATAAAACTTAAGAAATTAAAAAATAAACTTTTAGTAATTTTATCAAAGATGGGAATTAAAATGTTTCCTATAATGATACTAAACAGACTTTAGATGACATAAGGAAAAAATGACACATAACTGAAGTTCTGCCAACCACCTTCTCCACACTGCAAAACCCCTCCATTTTCTATCCACATCCCTCACCAATTCTCTCTATCTCTCTTACCTGTCAAGTTAACATGTAGTGCAAGGTTGGGGGCCTGGGGCCCATGGCCCTGGGGGCATAATTCTGAGGGAGCACAACCAGGACCCCAACCCCAGGCACTGGCTTTTGCAGGGATCCTCATACCCAGAAGAAAAGAGAAGAGCAGCCCATCAGGGAGCTGCCACTACCTGGGCATGTCCTGGAAAGCCCCATACCCAACTCCTCATCTTTCCCTGTCTGCCAATCACCAAGGTTTCTGGGGCCTGAAGCCTCACTGGTTGGTCCCCAGAAGAGGCTAGCAACTGTGGGATCACTGTCTCTAGACCCTGCTTTTCTCCCTTCCCCTGTTCTGCCTCTGAGTCTGGATTTCAGTCTGCCACAACCTATTCCTGCTCCCTTAACCCTGTTGCCTCTTCTGTTTCTGACACCTCCTCCTCCCAGTCTGCTCCCTCTTCTCCCACTGACCACTCCTTGTCATCCCAAAACCAATCCCCTGGCTCTGAGCCTCCTTTCCTTGGGGTGTCCCTTTCGGATTTCCCAGCTGCTGCTCCCTGCCACTCCTCTGCATCCAACATCCAACCATGGTCAAATCCACTCTATAAACTATGGAAAGGTCCAGTCCAATGTTCTCATGTTGTATTCCTATCCTTTGAGGACATAAGCTCCCATCACTTCTCTTACATGACTTCTCAAATTCCTTCCCTTTCTTGGATCTTGACAAAGGCTGGTCTCAAGCAAGCAGGTCTATGGTCTCATCTCTCCATAATATCTTGATGTAAGTCTGTTGAATTGGCACTGATTCATGATTCCCTACTCCTCCTTTATGTCCAACTAAAATATGGATGCTCTCCAATGTGAACTGAAGTGTTTAACTTTGATTCGCTTCCTCTTAGCTCCACTCATTCCTGCAGAGAATCTCATTCAACAACAGCGCTGGGGATGAAATTACATTAAATGAATATGGAGAGTTAGCAGCTGGCTTTGATATTACCAACTTGGTCACTTTCCCAAATAATTCCTATGTCAGGGTCAAAGTGGGAAGTTTGGATCCTCAGGCCCCTCCAGGTAAAGAGCTCACCATTAATGAAGACAGAATCAAATGGCACAGACGCTTCACTAAGGTATGGAAATAATGGCACAGTCCCTGAAAATCCAGAATTTGTGGTTATCCATGAAATGGGATGTAACAAATGCACTTCACACATTATTCATTTTGAAATTCACTAGCACTTGAAACCACTTCAGACTAGTGATGAGTCAGAATCAAGGAGTGCTCCCAGACCTCTTGCTTCAAACGGAATGCTACTCCTCCCAGAACAGGTCAGGCGTAGGAACCCAAAGCATTTCTCTCTGAGACAGGATGTGGCCTAACAGGAAACCACAACCCAAAAGCCATGGAATGATTTCCTATTGCTGGTTTCTTGTACTGACCCCGCAGGTAGGAGCAGAACCACTATAATGGCTTACTTTTCATTCCTTGTGCCACCACAATAGAACACCATGTGAACTCCTTGAAGCAAATGCTGTTAAGTGGTGACTCCATCAAAAGGCCAAGCCAGGGGTGAAATCACACTGAATTCTAACAGCTGTAAGGTAGGATGGTCCAGGCAGGAATACTTGTTGAATGGTCTCTTTAAATTTGAAAGTTCATTATTGTTCCACAAGATGTGTATGTCTTTAAGGGCCAGAGCAAATAATATGACATAGTTTTACAGATGTGAAGCACTATAGCAGGTGCTGTTAAAAAGGTAAAGGTAAAGGGACCCCTGACCATCAGGTCCAGTCATGACTGACTCTGGGGTTGCAGTGCTCATCTCGCTTTATTGGCCGAGGGAGCCGGCATACAGCTTCCAGGTCATGTGGCCAGCATGACTAAGCCGCTTCTGGCAAACCAGAGCAGCGCACGGAAACGCCGTTTACCTTCCAGCCAGAGCGGTACCTATTTATCTACTTGCACTTTGACCTGCTTTCGGACTGCTAAGTTGGCAGGATCAGGGACCGAGCAACGGGAGCTCACCCACTCATGGGGATTCGAACTGCCGACCTTCTGATCAGCAAGTCCTAGGCTGTTAAGTTGTGTTAATTAAGCTGTGTCACCAATTGGGTACAGTATATAAAGAGCAGCACCTAGCTCTCTCAGTACCCTAGTGGATGGGTTGGTGGTTCGGTCATGCTTCTTGATATATTATAATTAATGTAAAAGGAGTTTTTGTTTCTGTTATTAAAACCTAGCTAAAGTTATTTTGCATTCCTTGTAATCTGTGGTCTCCCCAGCAAGCTCTCTGCAGCGCAACTAGTCTGCAAATAGCCAACAATACTGACATCTTCTTAAGCTTGTATGATGCTCAGAACAGCAGCTTTTTACTCAACTGTATGTGCCACTTGGGTACCTCCGGATCATTTCACGCTATTAGTACTCCTATTTACTATTAAATCACCTGATAGTGGATATTTGGTAAACTCCCCCAAACAATATCATAATATTAAACTCTTCCTATCTCTTTGCATAGGTGCCACCGCTTTCTCTATGTAATGCCAACTGCCATCCTGGTTACGGGAAGAAAAAGAAGGAGGGGAAGAAGTTTTGCTGCTACGATTGTGATCCATGTCCAGAAGGAATGATTTCAAATGAGAAAGGTTAGAGATGACATCTTAAGATACTGCAGTACCTCTGGGCTCCTGGGAATTTTACTGACATTAAATTGATGCAGGAGAGAAGGCTTAAATTAACAGATGTGTTCATCTCATTGTTTATAGATTACAAAAATATATTTTAATATTTAAAACATCTTGAAGATTTCTTTTTTAAGTGGAAGCTAATATATTTTACCTCCAACGTCTACAAAATTGGGGTGGAATAGAAGTGGTGTTTTCTCCTCTAAGAATTAGGTTGTTTGACAATAGGGTGAAAGTCTTATCAAACTAGCTTTTCTGAGATCCAAAGATTTCACATGTAATGTATTTCTCATTTTGTTGTGCTGTTTATGTGGCAGGGGGACAGTAAAAAAAAATGTCACCCAAGTAGAAAATTCCAGAATTGATTCACAAGTTTTATTTTTGATATACAGTGGTGCCTCGCAAGACGAAATTAATTCGTTCCGCAAGTCTCTTCGTCTTGCGGTTTTTTCGTCTTGCGATGCACGGTTTCCCATAGGAATGCATTGAAAATCAATTAATGCGTTCCTAGGGAAACCGCCTTCAGACCAGGTCCGGGGACAGTCTGTCCCCGGACCTCTTCTGAAGGCTGGGGGGGGACAAGGGCTTTTCTTCCCACCCCCAGCATTTTAAAAAACCCTGGGACAGCGGAGGACTTCTCCGCTGTCCGGGGCGATCTTAAAATGCTGGCGGGCGGCATTTTAAAATCGCCCCGGACAGCGGAGGACTTCTCCGCTGTCCGGGGCGATTTAAAAGCCCCTGGCCTGGGAAGACAGGCAGGGGGGACAAATACTTTCGCCCCCTGCCCGCCTTCAGAAGGTGTTCCCGCCCCCCTCCCCGCTTCGGAACAGCGTTCCGAAGTGGGGCGGCTGGGGCAGGTCTTCCCGCCCCCCCTCCCCGCTTCGGAACAGCATTCCGAAGTGGGGCGGCTGGGGCAGGTGTCCCCGCCCCCCCTCCCCGCTTCGGAACAGCGTTCCGAAGTGGGGCGGCTGGGGCAGGTGTCCCCGCCCCCCCTCCCCGCTTCGGAACAGCGTTCCGAAGTGGGGCGGCTGGGGCAGGTCTTCCCACCCCCCTCCCCGCTTCGGAACAGCGTTCCGAAGTGGGGTGGCTGGGGCAGGTCTTCCCGCCCCCCTCCCCGCTTCGGAACAGCGGGCTAAGCGGGACCTCCCGCCGGGCATGCGAGGCTTGCCGACATCTGCCTGAAGCAGGGGGCGGGCTCCGCAGCTCACCCCCTGCTTCGGGATGCAGGCTGCTGCCCCAAGCCTTGCGCGCAAGGCTTGCCGGCATCTCCCCCAAGCAGCGGGCGGGCTCCGCAGCTCACCCCCTGCTTCGGGATGCAGGCTGCCGCCCCAAGCCTTGCACGCAAGGCTTGCCGGCATCTCCCCCAAGCAGGGGGCGGGCTCCGCAGCTCACCCCCTGCTTCGGGATGCAGGCTGCCGCCCCAAGCCTTGCCCGCAAGGCTTGCCGGCATCTCCCCCAAGCAGGGGAGATTTTAAAATGCTGGGGTCGGCAGCGCTTCGTTCCCGACCCCCAGCATTTTAAAACCTTCCCGGGACACGGGGAGATTTTAAAATGCTGGGGGTCGGCAGCGCTTCGCTCCCGACCCCCAGCATTTTAAAACCTTCCCGGGACACGGGGAGATTTTAAAATGCTGGGGGTCGGCAGCGAACGCTTCGCTCCCGACCCCCAGCATTTTAAAACCTTCCCGGGACACGGGGAGATTTTAAAATGCTGGGGGTCGGCAGCGAACGCTTCGCTCCCGACCCCCAGCATTTTAAAACCTTCCTGGGACACGGGGAGATTTTAAAATGCTGGGGGTCGGCAGCGCTTCGCTCCCGACCCCCAGCATTTTAAAACCTTCCCGGGACACGGGGAGATTTTAAAATGCTGGGGGTCGGCAGCGAACGCTTCGCTCCCGACCCCCAGCATTTTAAAACCTTCCTGGGACACGGGGAGATTTTAAAATGCTGGGGGTCGGCAGCGAACGCTTCGCTCCCGCCCGCCAGCATTTTAAGATCGCCCGGGGCAGGCGGGGGGAAGGCAGGCGGGGGGGAGCAAAGACTTTTGCCCCCCGCCGGCCTTCAGAAGAGGTCCTCTTCTGAAGGCCGGCTGTGGGCAAAAGTCTTTGCTCCCGACTGCCAGCATTTCCCTATGGGCTTTCGTCTTGCGATGCAAGCCCATAGGGAAATTCGTCTTGCGAAGCGCCTCCAAAACAGAAAACCCTTTCGTCTTGCGGGTTTTCCGTCTTGCGAGGCATTCGTCTTGCGGGGTACCACTGTACCTAGTACAAAAGCATTTGGGCTTGAAGATTGTATACATTCTGAAAAAAGCGTGCTAAATGGACTAGTGATGTGAAATTCTTAAGAATACTTTTGGTTACTTCAATTTGTCACACATTGTTTGTGTATTTTCAGACATGGAAACATGTGTCAGTTGCCCAGCAGATCAGTATCCAAACAGCGGCCAGGATCTATGCATTCCTAAGATTCCAAACCTCCTAGCCTTTGATGAAACCTTGGCCATTGTTTCAACTTCCTCTGCACTTTTATTCTCTCTCATCACAATTCTGGTGTTCGGCATCTTCATTAAGCATCGCAATACAGCCATAGTCAAAGCCAACAACCGAAGCCTCACCTATGGTCTCCTTATCTCCCTCCTCTTGTGTTTCCTCTCTTCTTTGTTGTTTATCGGAAAACCTAATATGGTGACTTGCCTTCTCCGACAAACTGCTTTTGGCATTGTCTTCTCTGTGGCCCTCTCCAGCATCTTAGCCAAAACCATACTGGTGGTTTTGGCATTCATGGCTACCAAACCAGGATCCAATATGAGGAAATGGGTAGGCAAAGAACTGGCTTATTCCATTGTCTTTTCCTGCTCCATTGTCCAAGTAGGAATCTGTGTCCTCTGGCTGGCAACCTCTCCCCCATTCCCAGATGTGGACATGCACTCAATGCCTGAAGAAATCATATTTCTTTGTAATGAAGGGTCAGTCTCCATGTTCTATTGTGTTTTGGGCTACATGGGCTTCCTGGCCACTATCAGCTTCACGGTGGCCTTCCTAGCCAGGAAGTTGCCTGACACTTTCAATGAAGCCAAGTTCATCACCTTCAGCATGCTGGTCTTCTGCAGTGTTTGGCTCTCCTTCATTCCAACCTACCTGAGCACCAGAGGAAAATACATGGTGGCTGTGGAGATCTTCTCCATCTTTGCTTCTGGTGCTGGGTTACTGGCTTGCATTTTTTGCCCTAAATGCTACATAATTGTGGTGAGGCCAGACCTGAACAACAGAGAACAGCTAACACAAAGAAAGGTATAAATGACAGTTGAATTTGTGGTTCTGTTGGGTCTGAGAATACATGGACTTGCTGGCTGGTATCATTTTCCGGGTCCTGACTCCATATATGTGTAGAGTTTGCTTCTTAACTTTTTTGTCTGCCAAAGATGTCCCAAAGGCAATCGGAACAGATTTTTCCTCAGGTTCTACACCCAAAGCCTTTTTCACAAATGAGTAATGCTGTAAAGCAGTGGAGGTTTAGCTTCAAAGTTTCCTTCTCCTAGGTGGGCTCCCTTCCTAGGTTTATGAGACCCTTCTGCCCCTCATTTCCCTCTACAGCACCTGCAGTAGCCATCTTTTTGAGCATTGAGCCCACTTTTGCTCTCATCTGCTATATCCTGTCTTTGCATGCAGAGAAATTCCCTAAATCACTGAGGATTTGAAGCCCATTCGCTGCCCTCACCTGGTTTAGGGAGCCACTTGAATCTGATTCGTGGGATGTGGCTGCTGTCTCAAGCTGACAACTTCTAGGAGCCACAGGTGAGAACTGAGTGCAAGGTGGGGATCAGAGGTAGACAAACTGCACCAGAAGGATCACGACTTGTTCCCCGCTAGAATTACTACCCACCCCTAACACTCTTTACATCCCTGTCATGTATTACTGTATACTTAAAGCAAATGGAATCTTAATAGCAAAACTGTCAGCCTTTTAATTTAGAAATGGTTAAGTTCTGTTTATGGATGTTGTACATATATGAATGTTAATAAAAAGTCTCTTATCAATTACTTCATGAAATCTACAAATTCATCTTGAAGACAACACAGGGTACCAGGAAAAAAAACACTGTGAAATAGTTGACGGCTCTACATTCTTTATCTCTCACCCACAAGGCAGCTGAGGAATAGAAGAAGGAGAAGTTTAAAACAGCCATTTCCCTTGTTTTTTAAATAGTTTTAACAAGGAAAAGTAGCAGAGACATGCAACAATATCTGGTGGAAAACATATTGGATATTGCTAAAACTAATAGGACAAGCCTTTTTTCTGAATTATACATCTAACCAGTTTGAAAGAGTGGTGGCAGAGAATATCTCAAGTAAGCCAAATGGCTTCATAAAATACAGATATATTGTTTCTGAAGTTGATTCTAAAATCTGTTTTTTATATATATATAAAACCACTGGGCCGGTAAGATACAATCTAAGTCAAATCCCTTATGAATACACAGTGGAAGTGAGGAACAGGTTTAAGGATTTAGATTTGGTGGACAGAATGCCTGAAGAACTATGGATGGAGGCTCATAACATTATACAAGAGGCAGCAACTAAAACCATCCCAATGAAAAGGAAATGCAAGAAAGCAAAGTGGCTGTCCAACGAGGCCTTACAAATAGTGGGGGAGAGAAGGCAAGCAAAATGTGAGGGAGATAGTGAAAGATACAGGAAACTGAATGCTGATTTCCAAAAAATAGCAAGGAGAGACAAGAAGGCCTTCTTAAACGAGCAAGACAAAGAAATAGAGGAAAACAATAGAATGGGAAAAACCAGAGATCTGTTCAAGAAAATTGGAGATATGAATCATAGAATCATAGAGTTGGAAGAGACCACAAGGGCCATCGAGTCCAACCCCCTGCCACGCAGGAAACACCATCAGAGCACTCCTGACATATGGTTGTCAAGCCTCTGCTTAAAGCCCTCCAAAGAAGGAGACTCCACCACACTCCTTGGCAGCAAATTCCACTGTCGAACAGCTCTTACTGTCAGGAAGTTCTTCCTAATGTTTAGGTGGAATCTTCTTTCTTGTAGTTTGGATCCATTGCTCCGTGTCCGCTTCTCTGGAGCAGCAGAAAACAACCTTTCTCCCTCCTCTATGTGACATCCTTTTATATATTTGAACATGGCTATCATATCACCCCTTAACCTCCTCTTCTCCAGGCTAAACATGCCCAGCTCCCTTAACCATTCCTCATAAGGCATCGTTTCCAGGCCTTTGACCATTTTGGTTGCCCTCCTCTGGACACGTTCCAGTTTGTCAGTGTCCTTCTTGAATTGTGGTGCCCAGAACTGGACACAGTACTCCAGGTGAGGTCTGACCAGAGCAGAATACAGTGGCACTATTACTTCCCTTGATCTAGATGCTATACTCCTATTGATGCAGCCCAGAATTGCATTGGCTTTTTTAGCTGCCGCGTCACACTGTTGGCTCATGTCAAGTTTGTGGTCAACCAAGACTCCTAGATCCTTTTCACATGTACTGCTCTCAAGCCAGGTGTCACCCATCTTTTATTTGTGACTCTCATTTTTTTTGCCCAAGTGCAATACTTTACATTTCTCCCTGTTAAAATTCATCTTGTTTGTTTTTGCCCAGTTCTCTAATCTGTCAAGGTCGTTTTGAAGTGTGATCCTGTCCTCTGGGGTGTTAGCCACCCCTCCCAGTTTGGTGTCATCTACAATTTGATCAGGATGCCCTTGAGTCTATCATCCAAGTCGTTGATAAAGATGTTGAATAAGACCGGGCCCAAGACAGAACCCTGTGGTACCCCACTAGTCACTCTTCTCCAGGATGAAGAGGAACCATTGATGAGCACCCTTTGGGTTCGGTCAGTCAGCCAGTTACAAATCCACTGAGTGGTAGCATAGTCAAGACCGCATTTTCCCAGCTTCTTTACAAGAATATCATGGGGCACCTTGTCAAATGCCTTGCTGAAATCAAGGTAGGCTATATCCACTGCGTTCCCTTCATCTACCAGGCTTGTAATTCTGTCAAAAAACGAGATCAGGTTAGTCTGACATGACTTATTTTTCAGAAATCCATGCTGACTATTGGTGATCACAGCATTCCTTTCTAGGTGCTCACAGACTGTTTGCTTAATGATCTGCTCCAGAATCTTCCCTGGTATTGATGACAGACTGACTGGGCGGTAATTATTTGGGTCCTCTCTTTTCCCCTTTTTGAAAATAGGGACAACATTTGCCCTCCTCCAGTCTGCCGGGACTTCGCCTGTTCTCCAGGAATTCTCAAAGATGACTGCCAGTGGTTCTGAGATCACATCTGCCAGTTCTTTTAATACTCTTGGATGCAGTTCGTCTGGCCCTGGAGACTTGAATACATCTAAACTAGCCAAGTATTCTTGTACTATCTCCTTAGTTATTCTGGGCTGTGTTTCCTTTGCTGAATCATTTGCTCCAAATTCTTCAGGTCGGGCATTGTTTTCTTTATCAGAGAAGACTGAGGCAAAGAAGGCATTGAGGAGTTCAGCCCTTTCTGTGTCCCCTGTTTGCATTTCACCATCTTCTCTTCTGAGTGACCCCACTGTTTCTTTGTTCTTCCTTTTGCTACGAACATACCCATAAAAGCCTTTTTGGTTGCTTTTAACCTCTCTAGCAAGCCTGAGTTCATTCTGTGCTTTAGCTTTTCTGACTTTGTGTCTACACGTGCTGGCTATTTTTTTGAATTCCTCTTTGGTGGTTTCCCCCCTTTTCCATTTTTTGTACACATCCTTTTTTAATCTTAACTCAGTTAAAAGTTCTTTAGATAGCCACCCTGGCTTCTTTAGGCACCTTCTATGTTTCCGTCTCATTGGTATTGCCTGACGTTGTGCTTTTACTATCTCCCTCTTAACAAACTCCCAGCCATCATGAACTCCCTTTCCTTTTAGTATTACTGTCCATGGGATCTCACCCAGCACTTCCCTAAGTTTTATGAAGTCGGCTTTCTTAAAGTCAAGAAATTGAGTCCTAGTATGCTTGGCTGCTCCTTTCCGCTGTATAGTAAACTTCAGAAGAGCATGATCAGTCGCGCCTAATGATCCTTCCACTTCTACACCACTAACCAGGTCATCAACATTGGTTAGGACCAGATCTAAAATGGCTGTTCCTCTTGTTGCTTCTCCCACTTTCTGGACAATGAAGTTGTCTGCAAGGCCAGTGAGGAATCTGTTTGACCTTATGCAAGACCTTATACTACTATCTCCCTTCCTTTTGCATGGTTGGCCATCTGTTCCAGGAAGGCATCATCTATGTTCTCCGTTTGGCTTGGGGATCTATAGTAAACTCCCACAATGAGGTCACTGTTATTCTTCTCTCCCTTAATTTTGACCCAAATGCTCTCACTTTGGCTTTGAGGTTCTAAATCTTGGATCTCTTCACAGGTATACACATCCCTGACATATAACGCCACTCCTCCTCCTTTCTTGTCTGGTCTGTTTCTCTGAAATAGCTTGTATCCCCCCATTATTACATTCCAATCGTGCGACTTATCCCACCAGGTTTCAGTGATGCCTATTATGTCATATTTAGTTTGCTGTACCAAGAGCTCAAGCTCATCTTGTTTATTTCCCATGCTTTGCGCATTAGTGTACAGACATTGAAGTCCATTAATCATTCCCCCGTGTGTCTTATTTAAGGATTTTTTCCTCCCACCACTAGGTCTGCGTGCTGTTTGCTCCATTTGGTCTATGACATTTGGATGACCATCTTCATCAATTGATAGACTCCTACCTTCAGGAGCACTGTCTCCCTCCCCCACATTAGTCAGTTTAAAGCCCTCCTGATGAGGTTTCTGAGATTTTTGGCAAAAACATTCCTCCCAACCGTTGTGAGGTGCAGCCCATCGCTTGCCAGAAGTCCATCTTCAAGAAACTGCAGTCCGTGATCTAAGAATCCAAACCGTTCCTGTTTACACCATTTGCGAAGCCAGCTGTTCACTTCCACTATTTTTCCCTCTCTCCCTGGGCCACGTCATTCAACTGGGAGGACAGATGAGATGACAATTTGTGCATTTAATTGCTTCAATTTCCTGCCAAGAGCCTCGTAGTCTCTTTTGATCTTCTGGAGGCTATTGCTTGCAGTGTCATTGGTTCCCACATGAACCAAGAGGAAGGGGTATTTGTCAGTGGGTTTTATGATTCCTTGCAGTCGTTCAGTTACATCTTGGATCTTAGCCCCGGGGAGACAGCACACTTCCCGAGACATCTTGTCAGGCCCACAGATCACTGCTTCTGTTCCCCTCAGTAGGGAATCCCCTATCACCACTACACGCCTCCTCTTAGGTTTGGTCGGGGTTCTTCCATGAGCTGTCCATTCCAA